CCAAGGGCAGCAGCGACTGATGCGCTCGAGCAGGAGGCCGAGAGCGATGACATCGAGAGTCGATCTGTAAGCCTCTTGTTTCTTGCGATCAGTAAATTTCATAGCGTTGACATTTTGCTTTTTGTTCTTTAGGGTACATGGTTTACCGGCGGGGGTTGTTCCTTTGGTGTAGGCGTGTAGGGGGTGGCGTGGAGACCTGTTTCAAACGATTTCAAACTGGTTTCGAAATTAAAGTTTATAAGTCGATTCTTGTTTCGGCCAAAACTATTTTAGTTTGTACTTGGGGATTGTTAAGTATAATCTGGGCAGCGACAGCCATGGCGGACCGCTCGGAGCATCGAGCATCAACAAGAAATGCAGCGCAATTGGGTGTGGCGAAAAGAAGGAAGATGGAAGCGAATGAAAATGATGCAATTGAAGACGAAATATCATCACCCCGAGATTTTCTAGACCAGCTTAGAACTCCTTTGTTCTTTTCGTCGAATGCTTTCGTCCTGAATGAACCAGAGCATACCAACAAGTGTGCACGTTACCGGCTGAGCAGCCTGGATATTGATTTTGTACTTGAGCCTACGCTTGGAGTTGTATTTCAAGATTTGCATGGTAAAACCAGGCATGGAATCATTCGGAAGTCTTCAGAGCATTCGGTATCTGTCTACATTTTGTACACCAAGGAAATGTTACAAGAAGTCGGCCAGAATGTGCGATTCAATGCACAAACATTAAGGATGATAGGATCTTTGGAGAAATCTGAGTGTTTCCAAAGTTTGTACACAGACGAGTTCCCTTTGAAAGATATCAACGGTGTTTTTAGAGTGAATTTTCAACAAGTCTCAATGAGAGGTTCAGCAGCCTCCGTAAGTTCGGGAAGTTCGTCGTTGCCAAAATGTCTTCTTTGTGTTGGCTACGTATACTTTGATATAAACTCTAGGAATGGTCGTGAAGAATGTCATTTATCCTTCTTTGGCAAGCTCAATGTCACTTTCGACATGCTAAAAATCTTCTTCCTGAATGTCAGAAGTCAAGTAGACCCTTTTCAGCTTGCACGAGATATACACAAGCTGAGGACAGAATTGGAACGGTGGTTCAAGACACGTGGAGAACCATTTCTAAAACCTCATATCAAACGTGTTGAAGTGGACGTCGAGCACGACGAAGTCACCTCATTGCTCTTGATTCTGAAGGCCGCACTGCAGGCAATACCTGACAGCGATTATTCAGGACTTACATGCTCAGGCTTGAAAAAAGGCGAGTGTTGTTGGACGGTGTGTGAATCAATCCTCAAGCAACCTTTCATTCAAGAACAGTTTCCTGTGCCATTCAAAGAAAATCCGTACCAGTTGGAGCCAGGATCTGGTTC